TCATTTTATAGTGTAATTTAAAATTAAATTATACGTAACTGTACTACAAAGAGCAAAAAATTGAAAAAGTATGTCTACTTTCGACCTCTGAATCCGACCAAGGCAAAGGTTTACTGAAGTACCTTTTTTTAAATAATAATTTTTATACTACAGGAAATGATCATTCTAAATATGTTTGAAGTATGAACTGAGTTGAATGCATATTTAAGAATAAAAATACATTTAGTTACAGTATAACTCCTCAATCATGGCTTATAGAACCAATAAATTATCTATTCATAACAATTTTAATATAATCCATAGAGAATACTGAAATAATAAATATTTAATTTTTAAGTTATTGTAATTGGATTTTTTCTTCAGATATAGAACAATATATAAATACAAAGCAATAATTTGTAAACAATCAAGTTTGAAAATAATAGTTCCCCCAGCAGTTTTAATAAGTACAATTGTATCATTATAAAATACACACGTATTCTAGTTATTTTACAACACTGTTATCCATACTTACAGATAGAGTAATAATTTTGTCAAAAAGCATCACAGCCGGCATATGAAAGTCGAACACAAAATACTGAAACACATAAAGAAAAATATTATTTGATTGTTACTGTTGTTATTGATTTATAATAGACACATTTATTGAATTCTTAAAGTGAAAAGAAACATTTGAACACAAAACTTCCTAAAAATAAAGCAGAAAAGTAAAGTATAATTTGGTACAATTTTTACCTGATCAATAATGACGATAACTATGAAATGAAGTTCCATAATATGCAATAATAGGCAGTTACCTGTGGTTTAGTTAAAAAGAACTTCCTGTAGTATTGGGGAAACGAATGTAGTTCAACAGTAAAAATCCCTTATTTTCATTATTTGTTTGGATTTGGTTCCTCGCTAGTTTGTTCTTTCTTAATATTAAACTGGGTATTGCATGGTCTGAATATTTATGATGGAAATAACCTTGTTTTAAAGACTTTGCATAGTTCAATATAACTAATATTTGCCTACAGTAAAACAATATATTCCTGCTCCCATAATAGTAGTTTATTAAGATTAAAACACTCATATTTTTCATAGTTCAGCGATTAGTTACCTCGTTGTAGTATGGACAGTTGGTGCTTTCTTTCACACTGGTGTATTTTTTTGTATCCCCTACTTGTACACACACCACTGGGTCCATGTTGAGGCCCGCTAACTGTCTCGCCTCGATGATAGTGATGCAAACCTGACAACAATAAATATAACTGACTGTACAACTTGAACAGGTAAAAAGTACTGTAATTAATTAATTCTTTGTCTTCAAAATACTGAAATAAGAGAAAATAAAATATTGTATTTACTCGGATAAAATGGTAAAACCTTTTCTCACTACCATCCCTTACGTCGTAGGAAAACAAAATTAGCCAAAAAGTATCTGGCTGTCATTAATTGATCATTTAAGATTAGAAAACCCCTCAACGCTAGACTAGACAAACTAACTGTAAACAGTAAATTTCCCCCAAAGTAACGTAAACATAATACCTCCATGATATAATTGAGAAAAATTTTTAAAATATGAAATTGAGCTTACCTGAAAGTCCTGGGCTTTGAGGGCACTTTGCAACAAAGTCAGGCTGGTTGTGGGTTTTGAACTGTAAAAAAGATAACATTAATCTTCAACGTACCTATTAAAAATCCAAATAATATTTTTAATACTTTATTATGAAATGGCCACCATACAAAGTAGGTATTTTAAGCCAAGTATGAATGGAGATGAGTGTAGGATGAGTGGCGCGATCTTGTAGTCTTGTTAGTGACTAAGGCCGACATTCCTCAGACACAGCTGTTAATTAATAGCCCATACAGCTAATGGCAACTAAGGGACCTACAGTTTATAGTGGAATCCGAACCACATTTTTGCCTTGGTATATACAAATTGGTCTAATTAGCAGGATAGTACTGCGGATGGTCGTAGTACGCTCTCGTGCGGACGTTAATCCACACCAGGGAGTATCGCATCCACAGTGCATGCCTATAAATATCCACAATTCGTGACCTCCTAGTAGCTGGATTACAGGACAACGCCACCCGTCCCAGTCATATAATTATATGATAAATAAGTATACTGTACACTTGTAACTACTCAACTTTCTTTGATTTATTGTAAGTTGTCCCAATTTTCCGACCTACATGAAAGTCTATTACTAACAATTTTAAAATGTAAAATTGTTAGTAATAGACTTTCAACAAATTTAAAATGTGAAATTTTCCCTCAGTTTGAAATTGTATAGCTTTAAAAGATAGCTATGGTATAGTCTTTAACTTCATAAAAGACAAAGATCCAAGACTAAATCTTAGAAGGTTAGATTAGAATATTTTATTAAGGAGTATTTTTATTATTTATTTATTTGCTCAGCAGTTACACAAATCCTAATAGCAGCTGATAGCCATGCTGATTTCAACTATACTAAAATCATTGATGGATTAAACGTAGTTATTCTACAAACAAATTAAATTCTAAAATTCAAATCTTCAAAAGCATTTTACATTTACCAAGGTTATGATCAAGAACAATCATAACCTTTGCAAAACTACCAAAACTTTAAGCTACTGACATACTAATTGTTTACCGTTTAGGTACATGAGGACTGTCAGGGTTGAGGGAGGTGGTGCTCTCGTTGTCCGAGCTCATGCTGGACACGCTAGGAGGCCGAGGTACCGGGGAGCCAATAGCAGGGCCACACTCCTGGTCCAGTAGAGCTCCCGACTCCCCTCTCCCACCATCACGGGGGGGACGCTGCTTACCCAGGCGGATCAGGTTCTTCACACTACACTTGAAGTTACCTCCCCTGCTGTAGAGGAACAAATGAGTTATAGTCAAATGCCACATTAATGTTTGTCCTTTGGTGTTGGCCGTCATGTTGAACATGTTAACAAAATAAATGTCAAAATAGTGCTTTTGGCCTCTGGAGACATAAAAGAAGTATTTCAGTCCTGGGTCTGGGTCTTACTTTGCCACCTCCGGTAAATGCTATTTCCCTATAGGGGAATTCGCTAACAGGCTGCAGACTAAAGTACTGTAAAGGTAGGATGAGATGTATGTCCAGTATTCACAGTTTATGGATAATTTTGTTACACACATTATTCAAACTTACTTGTAAACTTCAAACAAAAAGTTAATGATAAAGTGTAATCATGAAACAAGACCTGGATTAGCAGCTAAACACACGATCTAAAAAGAATTCTGATTAAAGTTCTTTTTAAAGATTACCACGTATGTGGATTATTTTCATTACTGTAATCATGTTTACCAAATTATTCAGATGCTATTCTATCTATGCACAGTCACATAAGTTTAACTCATACGTTATTTGTTAATTGGTTTTCCTAGTTTGCGTCCTATTTCTAAATTATTTCTGTGAAGGAATGTATTATATATTTCCGCACTCTTGTAAAATCATCAACTAAAACAATTAATCAAATCGACTAAATATTTTCTAAAAATACCTCTTCTTCTCAGGGGCAGGGGAGGTCTCGTATTTCTCCGGGGCGGAGAGGGAGCCTCCCCGCTGTAGGCCCCCGCGGTGTTGCCCTCTTGGGGCTGACGTCCCCGCACCACTCTGCCAACTACCTCTCCGCCCCTACGCCAGACAGAGCTTGGGTCAGAGAGTTTCCCACTTTCCCTTTTTATGGATCCACTAATTTAGGCCTATAATGTAGTTAAATAGCTTATATTCGTACTCATAAAACCATAACGGTATATTTGATTTGGACCAATATTCTTAAGTCTTTTATGTTTGTGACATTCGTTTGGTTGGCAGATCATGTAGTTTTATATTGATAACATGTGTCTTTTAATATGCTGTTTTGATCGTCGTTGCTTAGAATTAACATGTGGAAACCAATGATTTAAAGGTGTCAGAATTGTTTAGACATACTATCTACCACAACTGCAAAAAACAGATTATATGTAGACAACATTTCTAAAACAGAAAATTTTCATATTTTGCCAAACTTTCTCTTTAATTTAGGTAAATACCTATTTCATTTTTATTTTTTTTTAATTAATTACTACCGTATATGATCTAATAATTTTTTAAAGCTTGAAACTTGTATAAACGATCTTCAAGAAATAAAATTTAGGAATCTGTATCTAAAACATACCATATATTAATTTGGATTTCCTCAGGTTTTAACAGAGTAAAATAAAACCGACTCCAGCTACACATACAAAGCAATCATTATTTAATCTGAAGCACAATGAATTGAACTGAATATTTCTAAAACCTTTGCAACGTTTTTCGTTACACCTTTTGACCTATACAGGATTTTAAAGCCACATCTATCTTCACGATTAGCGCTAACCTGACTCATGCTCCGCTCCAAGTTAGCGATGTTCTGTTCAATGTCTATCAGCATCTGTTGGTCCATGTCCATCTGTTGTGTGGAGAATGAGGAGCCAGCCGTGGACACTCCGTCAGGGGGACAATACGTCACCTCAAACTCGACTGTTGCCTAGAACAATGAAACGTAAGTTACTATGCTGAACAGGTGGCTACAGTAAAACTTAAATAATCAAGCTCACGGTCGATAAATAAGATTTTTATATCTTCCTTCGCAGTAATTATGGAAACTAAATAAATCTATTCACCTAAAGAGGCATTAGAAAATTAATTAGTCACAGATTTTGAGAAATTGTAGTTTTAAAAAAAAATAGGCTACTCTATTCTGTATAAATATTGCCTACATTAATCAAAGTATTTGTTTATGGGCCGTAAAGTTTTATGTTGTAATCAAAGGAAAGTCAACCTAATTTTTGTCTCACAGTGAGATACTGTATTAGTATTAAATCACTTGAGGAGGTATTTAACAATTCTTTTTCAACTTAGTATCTTTCTGGTCATAGTTTAAGTTTTATAATAGGCCTAGGCTAAACATTTAATCTCAAACTTTTAACAAATTTAAGGAACATGTAGGCCTATATACTGACAGGTAATGGTTTGTTGTTGGGGTCCACCAGTGTGTCATAGACGCATATTCTGCCATCTTGCACCAGCTTCTGCAACACCAGAGTGTAGGACCCCAGTAGCTTGTCAGGTCCCAGGTAGCGGCTGCGCACAAGCAACTGAACCTGCAGCTGCTCATGACTCTCTATAGCTCGTGCAACGGGCCACTCGAACCTCTGGAATACAACGCTGAGTTAAAGCCTTGCACCAACTTCTGCAACACCAGAGTGTAGGACCCCAGTAGCTTGTCAGGTCCCAGGTAGCGGCTGCGCACAAGCAACTGAACCTGCAGCTGCTCATGACTCTCTATAGCTCGTGCAACGGGCCACTCGAACCTCTGGAACACAACATTGAGTTACAGCCTTGCACCAGCTTCTGCAACACCAGAGTGTAGGACCCCAGTAGCTTGTCAGGTCCCAGGTAGCGGCTGCGCACAAGCAACTGAACCTGCAGCTGCTCATGACTCTCTATAGCTCGTGCCACGGGCCACTCGAACCTCTGGAACACAACGCTGAGTTAAAGCCTTGTACCAACTTCTGCAACACCAGAGTGTAGGACCCCAGTAGCTTGTCAGGTCCCAGGTAGTGGCTGCGCACAAGCAACTGTACCTGCAGCTGCTTATGACTCTCTATAGCTCGTGCAATGGGCCACATGAACCTCTGGAACACAATGTTGAGTTAATCTTTGGTAAACATTCTCCTTGCATTGGTTAGTGTAGGCTATGGTTTAGCTTCGATTTTTTTTAATACAGTAACTGATACCGGTACCTATACCAACGGAATGGAGGCGACACTTAATTTATAAATTGAATTGAGTCATTGAGTGACATGACGACCGTTAGTTTTTAGAAAATTTAATGTGCTTTATTGGCCTTTTTTAAATAACTTACCGTAGTAAAAATTTATGATATCATTAACATAGGCCTAGAAATGTTCAACACTCACCTAAAAATTACACAGATACGCACACTCTTAAGTTAGAGTAAAGTAAGCATCTCAAGTAATCCGTAACAAGTGGAACAAATTGCAAACTAAATTTACCTTATTTCAGAGATTACCCAATGTTTACAACCCATGCAGATCCTATTCCTATGCCTAGCCTATATTAACACGAAATTAAAAGGAAATTTGAGAACATGACATGGGTTAGTCCTGAAACATCCAATTCAACACATTAGTGCTATCAATTTGCCTCAGGATGGATCTAATCAGAATTAAATTTGGTTTGTTAACATAAAATTATTTTCATCTGGTATGCTTATACAAGGTTAATGAGTTAATTTTATGCTAATCCTTTCACTCTCCTATCGAACAAAGTCTATGAAAATTTGAAGTTAATTTAGGGCCTAACTTACCAAGTTGGAAATCCAAGAAGCAAATGGTGTAACAATAATATTAAGAACTGAACGATAAATGATAAAATCAACATACAAAATCGCGTAATTACACTATAACTTAGTAGGATTTTAGTTGAAATAAAAATCAAAGAAAGCTTTACTTTACTTTTTGGTTGGTTCTGTTCTAAAGTTTCAGAATTGAGGTTTTTGGGATTCATGTTGTTTGTTTACATATGTAACAGCAGACAGCACAACAGAGACCGCCACCGCCACCTCGACCTCAGTCATCTTAAAGTTGGCTCTTCTTTTTCAGTGGCCAGTTTTTTTTCGTTTGCAAAAAGGGATTTGTCAGGCTGTGGCTGTAGACGGGGAGACGCACGGCCACCTTTAACTACAGGCCGCGGCCTAGTAGAATTGGCAACGTCACAAGTGGTGTTTTTTAGTGACAGACGTCCCTAAACATGGCTAAGATAACATGGCAGACAGGTGACATCATCTCATTAATTCCCACTTTATTTATTTAAATTTAAATTTATGGACATAAATTTATTAAAATATTGAAAATAAAGTTGGTTAGTCTATGATAAAACATACTGAATTTAAAACCGAAACAATATGAATTAAAAATCTATATCAGTACATTTTAAGCCGAGTCAATCATAGTCCAGTAACCAATCTTTCGTAAATACACAAATACCCTGATTCCAAACAAAACAGTGTTACAACACCACTTGCGTCGTTGCCACTTCGAAGGCCGCGGCCTGCAGTTAAACGCGGCCGTGAGAGACGGTTAGACCATGACAGACGGAGGCGCTTGTGTGGCCGGTGTCGAGACTGTTGCTCCAATGTTCAATCAATACTAAACTTGATCTAAAGAAAAAAGTGAAGAAACTAGATTATTTTCGTTTCTAGTTGATTAAAATTCAGTTGTTAAGACCTTTTACCCTCCAATTATTCAGAATATTGCAGGTCTATTATTCATCCTAGCGTAAAAGATGAGATCTGTTGTTGCGTTTGTTTCAAGTTTGTTACGTTTGAGTGCGCTGATGTTGACAAAGTCCTTTTTCTTTTAATTCAAGGAGATTTTTTAGTGAACCCTTCACTCCTTCATTTTAACATAAAAAATAATACCCATCAAATTTTACCGAGCCTGTGAATGATTTATCTATGCCTGTACCAGAGAGCATCATACTAACCATCACAAGTAGACTTCTCATCCCATTGAAAATTTTTTGAGATTTTGTCATTTTTTCGTGTCTAGTTCATGTCCGGTGGCATTGATCGCTAGTGTCGACGAAATTTTGTTTCTATCATTTTAGGGGTTATTTAATAATTTGTGCTTTACTATTTGGTTTAACTAGGGCACAACTTATGATTTTAATTTTATCGTTTTATTTGGGTAAATAAGGTTTTAAATTATTGAAATAACAATAAACAAATTTTAAACAAAACACGACCTCTGCCCCGGTCAGAACTATCAATCAATCAATCAATTCAATTCAATTCAACTAAATAAAATTGGCTTCAGCTGATCCATTAAGGAGTAGGCTACTAATAACAGATTATTTTTCAATTAAAGCAACACGGTTACAGGTTAAACACTAGAAGTATGAAAACACAGATAAAAATGATTCCATGTTTTTAGCCAACCCGACACAGGGAACTAGTTTAATTAACTCAGTCATAAATCATTATAGTTTTTACTACCTTCATGCGCTTTACGTGTTTTAGTCAATAACGCTTGTTCAAATTAGTTTTTTTTTCAACTTTAATGAGTGAGGAGCTTTTAAATTGTATAAAAAATTGTAGTACACGTTAGAGTATGAAACGACTTTAAATATTGTTTATATTTGCGATGAAAACAATCTAAAAAGGATGTTTTTATTAATATTTGTACCTTGTACCACATACTGGTGCGTTCCTTCTGCACTATTTTAACTTAAATTTTCTTTAACCAACCATTCCAACGTTTCTATATAAATAACGTGTATTCCATTCTGTTGATGGTATTTTTGTTATTAGCATAGCGGAAATGGATATGAGCTATAAATTTTTTTCATCGTACTGATTCTATGATTTATATAATGATGATGTATGATTTATGTATTATTTATAATGTTATAAGATTTAATTTTGATTATTATATGGCTTTGTTAAAAGTTTATACTTATTTTATTATCAAGATACAAATAAACAATTTAATTTAATTATACCCATTTAAAAACATGTGTACCAACTACAAGTCTTTTTATAAAATCATACAATAAAGCCAATCTGCATGAAAACAAAATTCCTGTGAAAACATTTTTACGTATTCCGAGTGAAAATATTGGCGAGACTTGGCCTGAATACGTAATCAAGAAACAACCTTTAAATTCCACGGCATTTCTAAATACAGGTAATTGTGAAGCAAATATACAACAAAATACTTTACAAAAATAGGTAACTCATTTAATCATAAATTAATAAAGAAAATGATTTTTTTTTATTCTTTTAGCAACTCTGCTTGTTTTTGTATCACTGAATATGAATAAACTCTAAACTCTCTTGCAGTTGCACTGTCACACTTTTAATACCTTGCATTTCATGTTTGTGTGTTGTAGGTGCAATAGCACAAGACCGATGTTCATGGGTGAGAGAGGTGCTCTCACTTATTTTCATGTTTGACAGATGAGTTTAACACAAATTCATGTTTGAAAGAGTTGCTCTAACACATTATATTCCTGCACGAGTAACTATGAAAAATGGGCTACGAGTACGAACACTTTCTCATATAGATTCGTCGAAATCCCTTGTCCATTTGTTTCACATATTCACGTCTTCGATTCCCCAAAATAGTTAGACTTCTTAGTCACTTGGTCCCACATATATCTGATGCCCAGCACTGTAGTTGTCATGGTGTCAACGTCATCATCGTCCCACTCATAGGCCTCCTTGAAGGCTGTCGAGTTCACATCCGAATGTATCATTTGAGGTCCTTCTTTACCGACTTTGTTCAGCATCACTTTCACGTTGTCAGCTTCCCTCCATCTTCTGTCTATCCTGTCGTTGATGTTGTCCAGGTACTCGTAATAGCGCTGCAGGTTCTTCATCAGCTTGCTCTCCTGGTCCGGGTCCTTTCTAGGACTCTTGAGTGTCTCACAGATGTCTCTATCAACAGCTTTGATGTCAGTGTTGAAGAAGATCGGCCAGTTTTCTCGGGTGTATGCCTCAATGTAGACTGCTTCGAGGAGTAGGATGAGTGTGGGGATTATTAGTTTCATTGTTATGTTTGGGAGTTTTGTTACATGTTTGTGTGGACTGGAAATACTCTTTGGTATTTCATGAGATAAGCAAATGATTGTTACTTGGGGTTAATTGTTTGCTGATTAGATCTTAAGATTGTAGCGAAATTATGGTAGTAAACAAGACTATAAACAAGACTATGAAGCCTACAAAGAAGTTTATGTATGAATCGACTTACAATAATTTTAGTTTTAAATACCTAACACAATACCTTGCAAATTATTTATCCTTAAGTAAGTAGTTAACATAATTGTTTCGTAGTTATTTAAAGAAACCCCCCTGCTTTTATAAAAGATAATAATTAGTTTAAGAATATACAACACTATATTCTCTTTTACCTCAAGAAACACTTAGGCCTATATTTTAGCAATGCTGCGAATTGTTGCCAGAATTCTATCAAAGAAGCTGCATACGATTATTTTCTTTTTAATAAATGGAGGTGATATTGATTTTTTTGGGGGATTTCAAATTCAGCAAGAGAACCCCCCCCCCCAAATGTATGTAAATGTTAAGACTGTTAAGTTTAATTGGTTAGTTATTTAAGTGCTTAAATTCACGTTTGATTTTAATTGTGTCCACGTTTGAACAATAATCACCCTGTATTATGTGTAGACGGGTGCACCATAGACTATTCAGTATAGGATTTATGTCCGATATTGAACAAGGGGTATTATTGTCTCTAGACTTCTACTGAATTAATCAAATGTGTCCCCCAACACTTTTTGACCTACAGTATATTCGCTTGTGGTAGCCAATATCTGTATTATAGCATTGACGTTGTTGTATTAATAGTCAAAGATTATAGTATGCTGGACATTCTTATGGTGCTAATTAAGAAGTTTATGGTTCCTAAAAACACTGAATCAACTTCGATATAGTATTCAGTGCTCCTAATAATTTAGATGCATCATTGTTAACGTTCAGAAAATATGTAGTGTTGAGATGAATAGTGGGGGGGGGCATTAAACAATATTACAACAATTAGTTTCTAATCTTCACCAAACATCTGATAGTGAGTGCTATACAAGCAGCCCCCTTATAATGTTCACACTGTTACTTTTACTCGGAGTTTGTAGTGGTTATCAAAAGGTCTCATTCTACAAAAACATCACACTCGAAGATCTGGACAGCAGACTGATCAGCATGATGGAGAACCCCCAAAAGGACAAAGGTGACGACCTAATGGACGGGTCTTTTTGGTACTACGCTCAGCTTGAAGACATGGAAATCGCTTTCAAAAACAACAAGACAGATGCGCTTGAGGTTATTAGGAGGTATGTGGAGAAAGGGAGACCGAAGTTCGCAACGACGGCGTTGAATAAGAGTTTAATTAAACAGCAGTTTCTGTGGGACAAAGGGGACTTTCTGGAGTTCGGTGTAAACGTTCAGGGTACAAACTGGCTTTTTGACAAGTTTGAACAGTTTTTAAACGGAACTCCTTGGTGGTAGAGTAATAGAAGGTGGAAGTAACAGGGATTATACTATTGTGTTTATGATATTTATTAATATTAAAATAGATTTAAACGTTTACATTTGTGATAAGGGTGAGAAAGAACAGATTGAACAGTTCAAAGCTTTTTGGTAACTATAAAATGTTTATAAAATAATTTCATATATGAATATTTGAACATTTTGGAAAACATGTGTTGAATCTGTAAAGAAATGTTTACGTTGCTTTAGTATCTATGAATAACATGTTTTCAAATCTATTTTGGATTTGTGTTGTTGGTGGCTAAGGTAATAAAACATTCTTCCACCACTTTTCAATGTTGAGATTTTCACTGTGGACATTTTCACGGTGGTAAATTATATATCATTATTACATTAACCATCGCTATACCAGCTGTCATCAAGCCCGATTGAGAGGTTGAAAGTAAACTCAGATTTGGTCAGATGATAAATGACGTAACTAGTCAAAATCTAAGCCAATGCATCTAAAAAGAAACGTTTTGAATATTTCTACTAATCAAGGACCAAAATACCTTCCAGCCAGAGTGGAATGTCAAATAAAGTTTACTGAATCACTGTAGAAAAGAAATTCCGCTACCACTGTTTATACATTTGTAATTCAAATATTTTTTTCGATCTATCAGCACACGACGATTTTCGCGGATCTCGTGGAACAGTCAAACGTATTTTTCTAACCCCACTTCCTTCAATTCAGCCCCACACCCTCCTCTCTTTTAATCCCCATCCAACAGCACATTCCATTCTACACACTTTCCACTGACGTACTATTGTCGAAGAAAGACTCCCACAGTTCCTGCGTGGCTTCCAAAGTAGCACAGAAGTGTGTCAAGTCAGAAGTAACCCAGTTGTATCTTGACCTAAGAAGATGTTCGTCCCACTTGACCTTCACCCATTGCGGTCCTTCAGGTCCGATCTCGTCCAACACTTGCTGTCCTTTCGGATGTCCTTCATCAAGCAAGTTCTTGGCGTCATCAAGGATGTCGTAGTACATGAACGAATTCCTCATCAAATCCCTTCCTTGTCCTTTCACAGGATTTAGAATGTTCTCTATGATCAATGAATCTAATTCTTTCATGGTTATGTTTGGTCGGACATAGTCTTCTGGTAAGATGGGTGTTGGCACTGGGAAACACTGAGATAAGAGAATTCTTAGGAGAAGTAGATACGATAGGCCTAATCTCATCTTGAATTGATAGGGTTGAAAATGTATCTTAATTGTTTTAATTTTTAATCTGATGATGAAGTTATATCTGTTTGGAATCGTGTAAAGGTTTAAAGATGTGAAATGTTTGATTCAGCTATATATTCAACATAATTTTGCATAGCTTAACTTAAAATTTAAACCTAAGCAAAGAAAGTAATAAATACTTCATTCCCAAAAAACTTCAAATGCCTACCTGTCTCTGTCGAAATGGGGCGTGCCGAGTAACAGAGGGAACGCTATTTCCTATTTTTAACAAGAGGTGCATTCTGTATCTGTACCTATGCTTTGTTCCGGGCTAACCTCAACATTACCCAAAAATGTCGATGAAAGTTTACACATAGGTAGGATTTACATAAACTTGGACAAGATATAGGCCTATTTTGATTCATGTACGTAAGATTACCTCTTTTTGCTACTCTAAACATCCATGAGGTAGTATCTGTTTTATAAAGTAAACTCAACGAATAAATAATTCCTTCTGCGTCCCCACTCAGTTTCAAATCGTGGACAAAGCAACAAATGATATAAATGTACTAAAATACCTCAATTTTGGGTCCCAAACTGTACAAATGAAACAAACTTGATCAATTGCCTTAAAGTGAATGTCATGGCCGTAATAACAAATTTAAATGAGAGCATGCTTTAATAGTGACGACATTAAGAAGGCCTGTATAAATGTTTTATCAGGTAGGCTGCAGGTTTAACATTATATTGCTGCGGTGATCCAATTTGCTAGAACCGATAATCTCCTTTGACACCTTCTAAGGTTAATGTCCTTCCCGTCTCTGCCTTCTACCTTTATTTAGTTTCGTCTTACTCCCATTCTTATAACTATTAGGTGTTTATTTATTTTCAAAATATACAATGCATTTTCAATGCTTGAGGTACAAGTCAAAAATCACATGTTGTTCCTTACATACACTTACAAACCATTAAATATCTACAGTATATCCATATTAACTGTTATTAAAATCAAACAGAACCAAACACATTTCGGCCCACAGTAATTTTTTTTATCGGAAGAATATATTGCAACCCCACGCTACGTAGATCCTTCAGCCTTTCAAAACACTCTTTGTCCCAATCTATTAGCCTTTATTAGGCGTCTTGGTAAATTTAACAGCTGTTGGACCCGGTTTACTCTTTTAATCGCCTTTCTTAGTAATTCAATTTATTTTCCTATCTGGAGTATATGTTGGAAAACTCCACCAACAACTTAGAGGAGGCTACAGTTGTACCGAGGTAAAATAAATATTCAGCTTAATTGGATTTATTCTAAATTAAAGTATACTACTTATTGGCAATCATGGTAGGGGTATGCATTTTAATTCAAAAATAAACTTTGAAATCAAACAAAATATATTTTGTACATGGTTATGCAGTTTTATATTTACCTGATCTACAGGGATGAGTTCGACTTTATCCTCAAGTCCTTTCGATGTGTGTGACACTCCTGGAAAATAAACTTACAGTTAGTAGCTTTCCACATAACCATTCTACAATACAAAAGTAGAGACACATCTTTTTTATTGGAATAAAACAGAACCAATTGGACGAACAGAGCCATGATGGTTCATGCAGTTTCACTGCAACATTTTGAAGAGTTTCAAAAATATTGGGAATATTTTCAGTTCGTTGTTTGAATTTGTACTAAAAAATTGAAAGTTAGATAGGTACAAATACAAACGTTATCGTAAGAAATTAAGCATTTATAATGTGGATTTTAGTATAAAAGGGGGAAGGCATTTCCTATATTTTTAAATGATTGATGTAGTTCAAAACACCATTTATTTGTATTACTTCCTTCTTGTCAAACGAGAAGACAGGTTAGATAACCTATGTATGATCGATCGTTATTGCAGAATGTGTGACATGATATATTTACCTGACTAAGACCTAGCGGTCCAGGATAATTAATTACGTATGTTATGGTAAGTAACACCCTCTAACTATGCATTATTAAAATAAAGTAGAATATTTAACTTCTGACAGCATCACATCGTCCATCTTTTTATTTAAATATACACTTACTTAAGGATATTTAACTTCAGTGCTTTTAAGCTTCTGTAGCTGTTTCTTCTTTACCTTAAGGTTTTAAAAACCACCTGCTTTATTCATTCAAAACATGCATTTCAAACAACAGTTTTATAGGTATTCTAGAACGAATGCTTGATGAACTCCATTCAACAAGAGTGAATTAAGTAGTTGCTCTATTGGGGATTAGAATGGCAAAAACGGACAGTGAACAAATCAGAGTAATTCTCAAAGCAACCACCGACGCTGAGGGACCAATTTATCATTGTCACAGCCGTAGAGAGGGTAATTCAGTGGTTGGTTTGGTTCAGCGTTCTTTTTTCCGATGTTTATCAATCATAAAAGTATTTTTTTAAATATATTTTAGCAAACGTAATCCGGGGGGAAAAGTTATTACTGTAGGTGCCAAGGTAAGAGACCCAGGACTGATTCAATTATTCATTTTTATGCACCCGATGGCAAAAAATACTATACGTTTTGATGTTCATATTCTCTCTCTGTGAACACGATAACTTGAGTGATTTTTAATCAAGTATGGCATGAACGTGTAGGGCTAGATACATTTGAATGAGTTTGCAAACTAGCAGGATTTTGCTAAGAGAACACGGTTTTACAAGGGTTTCTAAAACCAACCCTTAAAAGACTTAATGCCAAATTGTCAATAGAACCATAGTTTAGAGCTTAACAAAATCACTTTGTACATAAAGCCATGTTGTACAATTAAACAATACGAAGGTAATTCCCAAAAAACTGCACATTTAAAATTACTATGCTATTTTTAAGGCAAACAAATACTTTTGTAGTTGGCTTATATATGGATATGTCATAAATTCCTATTTAAATAGTAAGGCTGAACGAGTACATGGGTTACCCTTCCTAATACCCCCTTAGGAACTTTAAATATCTACGATAAACTTCAAGAGTTTTAATTCCAAATTAAAAATGTAACGTCCATCTTAAGGTTGAGCAATTACACTTTGGAAAATAAACTAGTTTGGAAATCAGGTTTGAACTATTTAACAATAACAATTAAAGGTTTAAACTTATGTAACTGTAGCCTAAAGTTTTCTCAAAATGTTTTTTAAACTTCCAATAATGCTCAGATTCGAGGAGGGATATTTCTTATTTCCCTTTGAGACGCTCCATAACAATTCAGCTCAGTGGTCTGGAAAACTGAACTCCTATTGTCATCAAATACTTCATAGAAATAATTTTTTTCACAAGATTGTTACTACTGCGATGGACGAAATCCCAAATATTTTTAGTTAATTATTCATTGCTTATTCTATAATTAACGGGATACAATTATATGAATGGAAATTGAAACTAACCCCAACACGTTAACCAGTAGTTAACCCTTTTAAGTGAAATATTAAAAACAAAAATACTTTCATCAAACCTTTCTATATCATTACCGACATTTAAAATAACTTACTAAACCTAACTTTGATAGAAATTGTTCAGCGTAAATACATGTTATCCTATTGATTTGTCAAAATTTTTTCGTTTGGTTAGTATTTTCAGTTAAAATTTCAACTTTCGCCCATGGTAAAGATTTTTTATTTCATGATAAGGGATAAGGAAGCATAAGGCATTAACGAGATTCTAAACAAAATATGCTTCTGAACTAACAGACTAGTATTGAATTTGTGTTGAAACTAATATTTTAAATAATTTAAAAGAGTAGTGAAATAATTGGCTAGAAGATTAACAGATTAGTAGAACAACCACTGAATATACTAAAAAGATAATGGGCCAAACTGCTATTAAATTAACAAATAGACTAACAGGTAAGCTAATTTAAAGGATAGTTAACTAACAGACTTGTTGACTAAAATTTATTTGTATAACGTACTAGTGGACTAAATGGCATGTAAACTAGCATGCCAGTGGACTGTCTTAATAACCAACAGGCTAGAAGAGTAAGAGCCTAGCTTTGTAGTTGTTTAAATTGAACCAAAACAAAGATTTATTATATTATAATCATACACAATATCAAAAGTGTTCTAATTATCGGTTGTAATCCAACCAAAGATCATTAACTAAATTGCTTGAAGAATTGTATTGAACCTGTTTATCATATTGTTCTGTCTATATTGTAAAATGTGGCTAAAATTATGGATCATATTTATAACAACAGATCAGATAAAGTAAATGTTTTACTCATCTACGAAGGACTTTAGGCGTAAACTGTATCCATCCTTTTGTTTCCAATCCGTTTGAAGGTAATTGAAATGTCAATGGCAAAGTGAATACGTAATGGAGTATAATAAAGGTTGTGTTGGTTTACAGTCGTGTGTCGTGTGTTTATATTTACTTTATTGCTAAACGATTTGCTATCTACTGGTACGTGACAACTTTTTCTTTTGAAAGTTGTATAGACCAATAAATAAGTAATCACGTAAACCCGTGTTTTTTTTCTAATTCTATAGATTAATCAATTTTTATTGAAAGTGTAATTCTACTTTATAACAATATTGAAGGTAATAAAATCAAGGAAAACATATTTTCAAATGTACAGTAACAGTATAAGGCATAAGTAGAGTAATAAAGTAAAGTTGACTGTATATTAAGACAAACTAACTATACTGAGTTTCTAAAATACATTACATGAATCCTGATAGAGTCACTTAATAAATAATAATTTGCATTTCTATTTAAATAACAAGCCCGTTCATAGGTTATTAAGTCTTTAACACTAAGTGAAAGATCGTTTAGGAGAACTGTACAAGGAGGCAATATAAGAAGAATTTATATGAACCACCAAATATCCTTTGAATTTTCTCGTCGAATCTGAATACTGTGAAGTGCATACTATACAATCACTCTAAGATCACAACCTTATGAATACTTTAACAATCCCATGATGTAAATCTTTATTTGGTTGGAACTATTATCTGTGATAAATATTGAAATTACATCAACAAGGTACAGCATATGATTCCTACTCAATATATACATTGTTGCGATAAAATATTCTAGTTGTTTTAAAATAGTTTACGATATAATATAATAAGAACGTCGGTTTAAAATAACAATCCTTAAGAGTTTTCTTTAGACATCACAATCGTCATAGCTTGTCCTCTTATGAAACATATAGCTATGGCCAGGAGGTAGTAATTGAGATAGGAATAAAAGCATTAAATAAATATATCGTATTTTCAAACTGAAACTGAACGTATAGAGGTAAGATTTATTATGAAATTCCTCTAGATAATCGAGACAGATGCTATTAAGGAACAGTTTATCTCAAAGTGCCAAACATCGCAGAAAGCTTCCGCGTCAGTGAGATCATTGTTGTGTCTGAGCACACTATTGTACGTGAAATACCTCACTTCAACTTAGTCACTGTAGTTTACTGATAAACAATCACACATTATCTGCTATTATACGTTAAGTAAGTATAAATAATACTAAAACTACTACTTTTGGGAAAAAATCCGTCATAGAAACTATACAAATATACATATGTGTTGTCGACTATGATATATTTTATTAGAAGTAATTTTTGGTGATGGAAAATATTAAATGTTTTTACATATGAAAACGAAACTCCTTCCTTGTTTGAGTTGAATTTTTCTTAAATTATGTGAGTGTTTGTATGTTGTAATTTCTTATTATTGTGGTTTGTGACAATGGTTATAAATTTGTTTGTACAATATTAGTAAATTGCTCTACGAATAGGTAAGAATGTTTTTTTAAGATGAATTTCTAACATGAGGAAATTACTGATGTAGGTATCTTCAAACAATTGCACTTATTGTCCTAACATTTTTATTAAGGCAACCCTACCCGTATCCTTACACAAAATACAACTGATAAATATTTTTTAATCAGCACTTAATCGATTTATTGAAAGCTATTATCATCAATTAAAATATTAACCCAAAGTAAAAATATAATTATATTTTACTCGTCAAAATTCAAAATGCAAAAGAAAATTCAGACGTAGAAGAAGAATATTTAAATGCATTGCGCTTTGAGTTATTTTAGTTTCAAATGGTTTTATGTAAAGAGTCGCCTTAGTTAATAGAAGGAGTCTGTAAAGCCTGTACAAGATCAAAGGATTGAATCGTCCTTCTCTTGTTATTCTAATACGATTTGACTTGAAGTACAGTCAGAATAGTAGTTCAGAATAGGTTCCATGCCAATACAAATGCTTTCATGGTTGACGTACCTTGAAAACACTAAATATAAATTACTTATCCAACGTCAATAATACATTATACTGTTTTTATTCAACAAATGAAAATTTTACTACTACAACTAGCTTGAAAATCCAATACATTTTAGAGAGGGAAATATGTTTAACGATAATCTCAACTATCAATTGATTTATTGAAATTAAAAAATCTACTCAAAATTGTAGATTTCATAATGTAGTCTAGGTAACTCAGTAACCTGGATTAAGTAAAATAC